GTACAGGCCTGACGCTGGAAGCTGGCGGAAATTTTAAAATGGCGTGGATGCGCGTTAGCAAAAGTAGGCAGTTTTAGGTATAACGATTGCAGCCCTCTTTCTTCAGTATTCCTATCAGTTGCGTAGATTGAATATTTAAAAATAGGGATCAGTGAGCAAGTAATAGGCATACAAACAGAAGAACTAATTGTTGATGTTGGTGACAGTGATAGAGATTCCCTTGATGACAGTGAATGTGAAAACTAACTATAAAACAAAACTATAGGTTTATTGTTTCTTTTTTTAGTAAGTTATGTTTCTACATTATTTTCTAGTACGCTACTGTTCTATCCGTATTATTACTATAATTTACGCCAACTAAAAGCTTATTTGTGTATCGGTTCCAAGTGACTTACCCAAATACGTCATAAATGGGAAAGTACCTGCGCAACCGCTCGCCAGCTTCCTTCGTCCGACCTGTACCGACTGTGAATTTGGCCGACTGGCCGACTAGCCGATTAGTCGATTGTATAGAGGCCAACTAGTCGGCCAGGCCGATCACGGTTTCGGGGGTATTCAACAATTTCCGTGACGCTTTGTTTACAGCTTATTTGCGCGTAAGTTTTTCTTACTTCGGTTTCGATTTTTGGTTTTCACGGGTCAGAGTAGTACTTTATTACAGAAATAATGACAATACTTTCATTGTTCATTACAATTACAATTTAATTATGTTAAAAAGAAAGTCTCGTGAATGGATTTTTTTTGACAAATTGGGCAATGATTCCCGTAAAGTCAAGTGTAAGCAGTGTCAAATGGCAATTCTTAGGTGGGCAGGGAAAAACAGCAAATTTATACTAAGGATATGAACAACCATATCTTATATCAACACCTAACCCAGCTACCTCAGTTGGCTTCTATGATTAAATGCTTGACCACGATTCCTCAGTCACAAATCCAAGTCAGTTAAAAATAAAAATTCCTACTCTTTTATTTAAGTAAGAAGAAATATTTATCAATGTTTATTGATGAAGGTATGACGATATGTGTAAGACTGCTTACAAACCAAAAAATAGTTTAGCGTCTCGTCTTTGTCTAGTGGAAAACGTCCTTAGTGTAACGTAACCATGGCCATCCAATGTGTCTTTTTTTAAATATGGTGTTGTTTAACTTCATTTGGTATAAGTTAACCTTTGGAGCAAGATGGGGTAGTGGGTGTGGATTCATTTGTATTTGCAAATACGTAACACTATATTACTATTTTTAATGAAAAACCATGGTACATAAACAGAAAACAAAAAACAGAAGAAGAGAGTGGTCGACAAATACTACAAAAACAACTGTAGATAATGTATTAAGGTAAGAAATGGGCTATAAAAAAGCTGCTTCTGCATACGCAGTGTCTCAGACTGCAGTAGAGAGTTATGTTAAGAATGACAAAATATTGTAATGTTACAATTGATTTACCTTTAAACCCTAAGAGAAGCTATATTTACAACAAAAAAGAACGACGAAATGGTAGGACATTTGAAACGTGTGACGCAGAAGAAATCCACGCTGGACATGGACAGCTTCAGATGGAAGGATCTCTGAATTAGTTTACCACTTCTGCTAGCGAAACGTTAGAAAGCATCTTCAAATATCGACAGCCTTTCGACCCGAATCAGGACAGCGTCAGTTTACCTACTGGTCGCGAAAGCGTTTACCTGTTATGCTGTATTTTTGTTATTTCCTTTAGCTACCCCATCATGACCCCCTTTTTTCCTACTTTACAGTTACCTTGTAAGGCTTTTTGATACTTAATTTTGTAGCTGCCAATACGAATTAACATAACAACAGATACAACCGATATACATTGAAATTATATCATTTTTAAAACAAACTGCCATTTCAGAATATTTCATTATCATTTAGCATGCATGTGATATTTGATTCCGATGTGTGAAATGTATTGTAAGAGCCAAACTAATTTTTATGGCATCATGTTTAACACGTGGTTTTCATGTTTCCTAGCATGTTTATAAATTTAACTTGACATTCACAGTGGTGAAATGGACATTGGTGTTATACAGTAAACCATCAACGAAACCGTTCAGGTGTCAAATTGTGCCTGGTGTTAGCATGTAGATTTGAAAGAAGTAGTTAATTAAACACGTGCCAGACTGTGTTACATATGCAACTAATTTCTATCAGATAATTACCCACCTGTTTCTCCTGTAACAACGGTGACAGTTGCACTCGGCGGCCCCCTGCCTATGTTGTTTACAGCAGAGACAAACATTTCGTATTCTGTATAGGGACTCAGATTTCGAACTGAATAGTACATGGTAATAATGCCAGATATTTCGCTGAAAGCTTGGTTTGCATATCTCGGCTTAAACTGAATAACGTAATATTGTACGTCTTCTGTTCCATTGTAAGACCAACTTAACCTGACCGAAGTGGCTGTAGTCTCTGATACTTGAACTTTAGATGGCTGGATAGGTAGAGCTGTAAAACATATCTTTAAATAGTTTAAAAAAAAAAAGTTATTTTAACATAGAAGATAAGTACATGTTGAAATACAAAAAAAGCAGTATAATGTGATATTTGTATGTAGTTTCTTCAATATAAACTGCTTAAAATGCATTCTATTAAAAATATAATATATATTCGAGAGTAACGGGTTTATAGGTTTTAGATACTCATGTAGAGGAGAAGATAAGCCTACGATTATCAATCATTAGAGATAAAAACTTCATTCAGGGTTCGACTGACTCCTTTGCCTCACAATTGTCGATAAAAATTGGCCCTATCCTGAACAGTAACACTGGCGGACCTTCGGCAAAGGTTCCGTAAAATAATGTAAGAAAAAGGTGGGTTTTATAGATTCGAATGGTTTTTACGTCACACTCCCTCCTCGTTCAGTCAACGTTCTATTCATGAAAAATTTTCCGTCTTCAACCCTTTTAGTTAGAGCCTAAAACCATTCATAAGTGCTTTAGGACATATTTATTGTTTCTTTCGAACAAATTATCATTACCTATGATTACGATTATTATCAAATAAAAAAAAAATAAATAGTCATGTAAAACAAAATTATTATGTTTATAGGTATCATTGTCCTTATGATTGAGAACAAAATATTGTCAAAATTTTGGTATTCTAATGATGGTCATAAGTCATATGCGCAGACTAACACCGAAAAGTTAACTTTGCTGGGTAAACAAATCTTGAACCAATTTTGGTAGTGTCTCAACTTTTTTCATTTTGCTGGTCTTTGTACCCTCCCTTAGGTATTCACTTCTATTTCGAATTGTTATTGAAGTGAAACTTCTTTATCGACGATGAGAAGGAAATTTACTACGGTATAAAACCGAAAAATGTGACGTCATGCGCCACAGCGTCACGGGTCACGTTTGTCCCAAGTGTGGTGGAAGTGTCCAAATGGAATCTTTTGAAAAGGCGTCAGAAGCTAACCTACTAATAGCAATCAATAATCCGAAAATTGCCATTTCGACAAATTGTCAGCAGATTGCATCTACGCTGTACCGTAATCATATGTATTGAGTATGCATTTGTGTTTGTTTTGATTTGTAACTCCCCTTTACAGTTTTGTATGGTAAAAGTGTAAATATTTTTAATAAAACTAGACCAACATTCTGCATTCGTCCGCTCGAAGTAAAGTTGTATTTTTCTGGTGTTTAATAATTAGTTAATACAATAGTTTAAGCCATTTTTTTTAATACTACTATAATATACAATGTAATGAAATTTCACTTTTTACCCGTCTACACGAATACACGCTGGTCCCTTTTTTTTTACTTTTTAGATAGTATCATCCTCCTAGGAATATCTTGTCCAGTTATTCACATCGCCATAGATAAAGGACGTTTGTCTGTTTCATTCCCATCAACTTTCATTTAAAAATGGTGGGTTGTGGTGGTTGGGGACAGAAATATTAAATGGACAAAGTAAAGACACAAGGAAAGCGAATGATTATTTTTGAAAAATTATTACTGGCCTGCGTAGGGACCCAAACAATTAAATTTTAGTTAAAAATAAAATATATACTGTCGTAACATTAACGTCGATGGTGCAGGCGTTTGTACTTATAACATACAATAATCCCATCGACCAAAGGTAACATTCTAAAAGTTTCCCAGAGTCTGGGAGGAAAATAGACAGTACTACATGAGAGAACATTAGCCGGGAAAAATAATCCTCTACAGTACCTCCATCGCTTAATAAATCATACTTAGCGTAATTAAAGAACGAAGTTTTTTATTTAAAGAAACTGGCAAACTTCCCAAACCCTGTTTGCCTAAATGAGCCTAGGAAACCACAGACCAATGCAAGAGGACCCGGATTCGAACCAATGTCCTTCCGAATGTTAAACTGTGAAGTAAGTCTCTAGGCCGCATTGCTCGGTGTCACCACAATCCTTCGATAAATAAACAGGTGAAATAAATTGAAAGAAAAAGGTCTCAACCCCGAGATATTAAAAATTACGTAACTGTTTACAGACATTGCTTAAGACTTTCTACCAATTTCTTATTTTTCCTGGTAATGGGAGCACCTTCGTAGATATTTTATAAAAGGTAGAACGAATTCCAAACGAAAAATTTGACTACAAAGCTCTTTCGAATTGACGTAATTTTGTCAACACATCCAGTGATCAGATAGATTCAAACTTTTTTAACTGAAAATATAAACCTTTTCTGTAAACATTGAAATTAAGGTAAACAAAGAAATAAAAAATAAACAAGGCTACGATACTAAATTTTATCCATTTATCAATTACGTTACACCACAAGGCTTTATTTGTAAGTAGTAATATGTAATCGGCGATTGTAAATTCGGCCGATTTAATGGATTTTTTGTTAATTACAGTGGTAAATCCGAAAACGTTTCGTAGCCCTCAAAAATTAAAATTCGGCCCAGGTAGACCCAGAAAATAGAAACAACATCTTAGGTCTCTTATCATATGAGTATGCATATAATCAATAACAACCTTTTGCAACAAAGGTAAGTGGTCTCTCAATTAGATAATTTACTACTGAGAACGACAAAAATAAAGCAAAATCAGTGCATTTTATTAAAGAAGACTACATATTAATGAAAGAAACTGCTACATTCTTTGATAAAGTTTCATTTTATTGTAGTTTAATATTCTTTTTATTTCAATATCTAAATACTACAATATGTAGAAGGTAAGTGTTCTCTCTAATAACCACTTGAAGCAATTTTTCCGGCCGAATATACTCAATTTTCGATAGATTTGAACGGAGCGGCCGAATTTACATTTTGACCCTAATGAATTCTTCTACCTGTCGTAATGATCGCCCGAATTTACTACTACCCATTTGTAATACCTAAGAATGTTTAAACAAAGTAGTAATTTTTTTCGATGCAGGTTCATTTATAGACACAAACGAATTCAGTATTAGAAAATACCATAAACAACGCGGTAAACATCACCTGTAGTGCGATGCTACATTTTAGGATTACGTATGCTCCAACAAGGTCCGCACTTGTGTGGATATCTACTTGCTGAAACGAACCCCGGCGTAGCTAACCTCAACGTGACAGACACGTTACCATAATCGAATAAAATTATTCGAAGTGATCTGTTATCTTTCGAAACTGCCAGACGCGGATTGCGATTTCGATCTTTTTGGATCCCATCAGCGCGTCGCAGACGGCTCCGACAGAACACAGACCAACTTTGACCTGCTGTCTTAACAGCGCGTTTTAAAAAATACCACAAATGGCGCGGTAAACACCACCTGTAGTACGATGCTACATTTGAGGATTACGTATGCTCCAACAAGGTCCATTTAAATATATGGATATCTACTTGCTGAAATGAATCCCGGCGTAGCTAACCTCAACGTGATAGACACGTTACCACAATCGAATAAAATAATTCGAAATGGTCTGTATTCTGTCGAAACTGCCAGACGCGGTTCGCGATGTCGATCTTTCTAGATCTCATCAGCGCGTCGGAGACAGCTCCGACAGAACACAGACTAACTTTTACCTGCTATCTTAACAGTGCGTTTTAAAAAATGCCACAAATGGCGCGGTAAACGCCATCTGTAGTACGATGCTACATTTTAGGATTACCTTATAATTTGTTGTATATTCTGAACCATATTTTAAATTACATAAGGATAAATGCAGTGCAAGAATATACATTTGTAAAAATTGAGTTGAATGAATGTTAACTTTTTAAAAAGCTGAAACGCTGTAATATATTGAATATTAAATAAGTCGCGGGAATTACTGATACGATTATTATTAATGCGGCATTGCGATGTATGTGATTTTAAAGTTACTTGTATATTCAATTGTGCAATAGTTTGACGACTAGTTTGGATAATCTAAAATTCGATTTATATGCTTATTGTGATAAATAAATAGTTATACATGTCAACTGTAACCCAATTTTATAGCGCAATAACTTGTAAATAATAGGTGTGGATCATATTTTGCTGTCACTTTTATACTTTTACTCTATTCTACATGCATTTCAAAATAGATATTCGCTCCACATATTTCGAATCGTAATTATAACGATTCAATTTAAATAAATACCGTTTTAGCAAAAAGGTGTATATACAAAATAAAATCAACTAATGAAAATGGAAAATGAAAATTACATAACTCACATTGGTGTGAATAGAACATTGATATAATCTTAAATAAAGTCTGTGTTGGACTCCGCGATTTTATAAACACAATATCAGATAAATTAGCTTTAATTTGTAAACTGCAATTAATTGTTGACCTATGAACGCGCATTCCTTCATTTTTTTTAATAGAAATTATTCACAGCAGATGCTTTGTAAATAAAAGTTAAATGATTCATTTTTAAATCAAATGATTCATAAACATCATCATAAGGTCTTCAGTACTTAGAGCAGTTGGACACGTACCTCTACTCTTTCGCATCTTGAGCTAATCTTCGCATTTCCCTAAAACTAAAACAACCCACATCTTTAACTATTTGGCGTACCTCTACCCCTACTAACCGTTTCTACCTCTAATGTGTGTGACTAGACCTTCATGCCTGAGAAAGTGTCCTATCAACCTTTCTCTCCAATTTTTTAGTCCTCTATTCTCTTACTCTTTCTAATATTTCTTCATTTCTAACCTTTTCTATCGACGGTATCCTCATCATTCGCCTGTAACACTATCACATTTCGAACGCATCTAACCTTTTCCAAACATACACCTTTAACAATCTTTTTCAAATGTCTAAATAAACCGTTCATGAGCATAGAAGTGACTTCTTTTTATTGAAGGCGACTCGAACCTGGGCTATCCTCTGCTTTATATCCATACTGCTTCTTCTGTCCTGACTTATCCTGACTTAACAGAAACAGATAATTTCTAGTTTTGTAGTGTCATTTGCATATACCTATTTAGTAAGGTATTTGCCATATGAGCAATTTCCTTTGTTAAGAACCATTCCCAAATACTTACGGAAAACTGTTGAAACCCAG